ATTCTTAATTTTGACTTCACTACTTTGAAATTTCCATTTTTAGTTTTATCAGAGTAGTAGTTTATAAACCCTCTCTCCTCACTTTTAACTAAATTAATCCGAAAAAACTAAAAATTTATTAAATAATATTAAAATATAATTGAATAATTCATTAAAATCCAAAAAGAAACGAGTTTTTTATTTATATTCATATTGACTAAGTTTGATTATTTTAACTGATGAATGAATTCAATAATATAAAAACAGAATAGAAAATAGATGTACTCACATGGAGTTTTAATTAATTATAAAAGGCATCCTTAATTCAATTTACAAGGTATAGAAATTGAGTAAATATCAAAGATAAGCAGAAAATAAAAGGTTAATTTGATTGAATGTATTAAGAAATTTAATAAAATAAATAATTCATACAGAAAAAAAATAAACAAGAAGTAGATTGCCCTAGAAAGAAATTAATAACAGTATTTCGATCATGATGAAAGTTTAAGGGGTTAAACATAAAGAACCCTATGATGCAATATTAGTAAAGTTAGAGGATAGCATATTTTAGTTGTTCAATCTATCAAAAATTACAAAGCAAAAATAGATGGATTAAAGTAGAAAGGTCATATAGAGCAATACTTGGATTAGGAAAAAATGGATTTTTGCTCTTATAAACAACTATTTTCATAAATACGTATATGTATTAAAACTTCGGCTATATTTTGCAAATCACTTAGAATTTAATCTCATAATTATTGAGTTAATAAATAATCTAAATTGCTATCATTATTGTTTATCTTGTAAAGTACACTTATATAATGAGTAACTAAAATAGAAATGTCAATTAGGTGATATATTGCTTATTAGCTAACTAAATACATTAAAAAAAGAATTTGGGAGTAGCTAGATTATTTTTATATACCGAAATAGAATTACTGTAGTTGATAATTGAAAGCTACGATTATAATATTTGTTTATGAGGGCCATCAAAAAGATATGAGCAATGAACATCAAATAAATTTCCAAGATGTAGTCAAAGTTGTTAAAAATTGGCTCATTTGCTCTTAATTATGAAGAAATAAATCCATTATTGTGATATCCTTTAATCAATATAGGAATATTTAAAAAAATTTCAGATTTGATTATCAGTTGCCCCACTAGTATATATTAGGCTGTTTCAATTATATAAATGTAAAAAACACAAAAAATCCGTTTTATGTTTCAAGAATTTCAGTTTATTATAATACCAAGCTATCATTTTTAAAATTTATTATATAAGCTACATCAAAATTCAATTTTTTTAAATGTTTCATTTAAAATCTAAACCAGTTTTAATATATTTGATTTATGATTTAATTGTATAACATTTATGATTCATAGTAATGAAATCTCCTTGTTAATGCCGAAAATGCTAAATAAATATCAAGTTTCATATACTTTCAATTAAATTCTTAAATTGAAGAAAATAGAAAGCAAAATTAGTCTTCATTTATTAAAGAAAAACCCTTAATCAATAGATCTCCTATTCCCAATAATAAAAATTCCAAAAATAATCAAATCACCTATATTTCCTCAAGCTAGAGTTCAAAAGAAACAATTCAAAAAAATTGTCAGAATTTATTAAAATTATAGTTTTTAGAAAAAGGTATATTGTTAGGGTTAAAATCAGATTTAGGCATTATCGGATATGATGTAATTAGGGCAATTAATGATTTCGGCATTCCTTGTTGAATTGAAATAATATGAATATATTATGAAAAATTTGAAGAATTATTAGATTAGGAAAAATTGCTTAGATCCAATAACTGTCAGTATTGCAGGATTTTATTGACATCTATAAATAATTAGTTACTTTAATTTTTATATTTTTATTTTTCGTTAATTCATAAATATCTTCTCTTTTAAATAACTTATGGACGATTTTTGCCACTAGAAGAATAATTGAATTAAAGATATTCAATTCACTAAAGCTGTGATGAATGGGGTCTCTGGAAATTCAATCTTGCACAAGAGTAATATATTATGATTATACAGAAATTTTAATTAATAAAAGTTAATTTAAAATATTTTTAAACGATAACTCTTTGTTTCCAATTAAAGTAAAAAATATTCAATTTTAAGGCAACAAAGGAAGATAATAATAGATAGAGGAATTTTTTATAAATAAAAAGTAATGAATATTGTTTTAAGCAATTCATTTTTATCACTTACTTAGTATTATTGTTTCTTTATAGTACTGTCATCATCAAATTATTTCTTATAAATATATTTTAGTCTAAATGTTACAATTATCAGTAAAACAAAAGCAAATACTTCTTTTTTACTTATGTAATTCATTTTATCTGATTTATTTAAATGAAATAGCATATGACAATTTGATATAAGTATTTAATCTGCTTTATGGGATTAAAATTAATCTAAATTCTTTTCATCTGATGATCTTTCACTTTTAGATTTTTTTATTCAATTAATTAATGGGTATCAAAATGAATTTTTTCTAATAATACATGTGAAAAAGTAAATCACTGTAATTTCTGAAAAAATTTGATTCAGATCAATTTTGAAATATTTATTGTAATTGTTCATTTGACATATTAGCAAACAAATCTGAAGGTGTCATTTTTATAAAAATTTAGGTATTAAGTAAAGTATTTTAGAGTGAGAATGTTAAATCAATGTATTCAACAGCATTATTTAAATTATAAGAGAATCCGTATTGAGCAATAAAAAGACAAGGATTGGTTGATTTTGATTTAATCTTCTATTATTATTATAGCCAAAGTATAACAGTTTACATGAATATGAGTATAATTATAATAATGGAATTAATCTAAAAATTACTATTTTATTGGTAAAACCTAAGAGTCGATGCAGTATTGTAATAAACTCTAAAATTTGACATAAAAATCTGATAAATCATACTTGCATTTGTATATCTATACTTTGCTAATCCTAATTATGTTTGCAATAGAGATCCCAGAATAAAATAATTAAATATATTAATTTGAAGTTGTAGTAGAAGATCAATGATCTTATATTAGAAGCGCTCTTTAATCATCTTTTCCAAGTTTTCTTTCACCTTCTTATTCTATGTAATTTATAAAACTCCAATACTTTTAATACAGCCATAATTGATTTTCTACAATAAACTTTCATTCTGTTTAATATGCTGCTGATAATTGAGTTGTAAACTAATAAGTCATTCTTGCTTTAAATCTAACACTCTTTTAGAGATATCTAGATATACAGATTATCAAGAAGTCTATTTTTTTGAATAATTTTTACTCATCGATTACCCCTACCTTTAAAGAAATAAGCCTAAAAACAAAAATAGTAAACTCTTAAGTTTTATTACAATAAGAAAATACAGATCAAACTTATCCCAACAGTTTTTAAATCTAAGAAAGTTAATTCTCTTAAAATATAAGATAAAATCTATTTTATCTTATATATAACATCAAACCGATTTCTGTAGTTACATCTTAATAATCTTCTAGTATAACAAGACTATGTTAATGTAGCTCGGATAAGTCGCTTATTGAAAGTATTTATTTTAATTTCCTTTATCGGGTAATTGCTCAACTCTTGATTCTTGAATATATTCTAGAGTTATATATTGTTTTGAGATAATGTAAACCTTTGGTCAAGACAAAAAAGATAATATTTTGAAAGTACAAAAAGTAGAATTTCTATATCTAAGAAAAAGTGGATATTTATTGACTTTCTACATCAATGAAAAAAGGCTTTCTAATTTTTCTTAAAATGCATGATGTATTTTTTCACATTAATTCCTTATTGAGTTTATCGAATTTATTTATTTCGTTACAAATCCTGCTTTTAGCATTTTAATATGATATTGCCATATTCTAATAAATACTTGTTCTCAGATTTTTTAGTAAGTTTTCTCAAAATACCATTACTTTGATTTTATAAAGGGGGATTAATCTTCTAGTTGAAATGAATACTCATTTAGATATTTTGTGCAGAGTCTACTTATTTTTCTGATATATTAATTCTCATTTTATATCGTAATATATGCTTCTGTGTTTTAATCAAAACAAAACTAAGTTGTTATTAATTTTTTAATGAAACATCTACATTGTTGTTCTTGCAGTCTTATTTATACAAAAATTATAAAGTCATCTTAGGTTTTTTGTTGAAATAAGAGGCTTTTCATCCTATAAATATGGGAGGCTTTCATCTAATAAATATGGTAATTATACTAACCTTGCATTTATGATTAGAGACTATTTTTATACATATCTTGTTTTCATTAAAAGTAAAAGAATGTTCATTGGATAATTTAGCTATTTGATATGGCGTTTTAATTACATTTAAAAAGTATAAACAGAGTGTTACATTAAATATTTTAGAGAGTAGTGTTAATAATATATTGTACAATGGTTTCTTGTATCATGTTGATTGTGCAACTATCAAATAATTTTTAAAACTTTGAGATTTGATGAAATAATAATGTATTCTAAGCCAAATGACTAAGGAAAATTCAATTCATTATAAATTCTAATCTATTCATGATATATTATTTTTTTATTATGTATTATTAAATATATTCATGAGTCCTTATATTATTTAATATTGATTGTTATATGAAATATAATCTATGTTATCAGTTCTCTGCTACCAGTAGTAGTAAGCCCTCTAATAAAAACTAATGATTGGTGATTATATTACAATAATAAACTCATATTTAAATTTAATGTTGGAAATTTAATGCAATGCAGTCGAGTATCGAGAGCTGAATTATGATAAATATTATAAAAGTAAAGAATTTTTTTTTTTGGAGAATTTAAAATCAAATTGAGAATTTATTAATGGTTAAGCATTATTTATGTGTAGGTGAAAATTGAGAGAATGAAGAAATAACATTTGGTTGAGAGTGTAAGTTTTGGTTAGCAAAATTATGATACTATGCAGCCATCATAAGATTTAGTAATCTATTATTATTTAAAGAAACTATAATATCAAAAATTTATTCTAATGATACAGAGCAAACTATTATGACTGGAGGTTATATTAAAATTTGTTTGGAAATCTTAAAAGAGGAATTAGCTTTTCTAATTCTAAAATCAAAATAATTTTAAGAGGTTTTGAATCTATTAGAAGACAAGATAAACCAAAAAATACTTAATGATTATAGTTTGAAAGTTTTTGCTAGTAATGTTTAAACTTAATAAACTTAACATGTTTATTAGTTACTCTGCAATTGTTAAAACTTTACAGGTGAAATGCCAGAAACTGTTTTTTTTCAAATGGTTGATGATAACTCACTGAATGAGGCTATTAGAAAAGATCTTGCTTTTCTAATTATAAGAAGGTTATTTGATGGAGATAAGAGCACAAAGGGATAGAATGCATTAAAGCAATTTATAAAATATCTAAACTTACTTTTTATAATACATTAATAAAAAAATAAAAACCTCCTACTTGGCCTACAAAAATATTTAGAACTTGAATCAACGTAGAAAATTTTGATATTTAAAACTGTAATCAACTTCTTAATTACTGATTAGTAATTCACAGGTTAGGAATTCCTTCGTTCTTAAAACTCTACTTATTTTCAGTTAAAAAAAATAGGCAAGGACAAAGGTGAATGATGATATTCCAAAACTCATATAATTTTATCTATAACTTGCTCATATGATTTTGAATTTTTTAAGCGACTCATATTATTTGTAGTTGTATGGATAATTTTATTGCTCTGGATATGACTATTTTATATCTACATAATG